TTTTTTGGCACATTTATATAAATTACCTAATTTTTGGTACACAATTTTTGGATAGTTACAGTAAATTCTTAATTTTTCATGGTATTGTAGGGTAGGATAGCTTGAACTAGTGAAGAACACAGATATTCCAAACTTTGTTTGCCATATATTTAACCGTTTTCTTTTGCTAAACTCATTTCTTCAGACCTGTTAATAATTAGCAAAATTGCTTGAGTTGTACTTCCTCTGTCTCCATAGTAGATGGTATCTACTAAAAATGTTGACAGGAGAGAGATCTAAATTTAAACAAGTAGACAACAACAACAAATCAAGAGTAGACTGTGAGGTAATGTGTGTGTTACATTTACATATGGATTGATAGTTCACAGAATGAATTTCCATGGTAGTGGGATTACATTGGACACCTATGTAAGAATGCTCATTTATGGAACCCTAAAAGGATTTCTTACAGTGTTTACATCAAAACAAATAGTTGGCAGAAATTAAACACGTGTATGTTTAATGTTTTTATAAAAGAAAATAAAATTTCTCTTTTCCTTTAACCATTTTATAGTGTCTCTTTTCAGCTTGAACATGACAGTGCCAGGCACACAGTAGATGCTTAGTAAGTATATGGTGGTGATCTTCACCTCTAACCTCTGTTCAGATGGAGATCAGTGCTGTTATGGAAGAAAATTGCAATATTCATTATTTTTATTACAGTCTTCATCACTGAAACTTATTGAAAATAGTAAATTCTAGCAGATTTTTTTGTTGTTTTGAGACGGAGTCTCACTCTGTTACCCACGCTGGAGTGCATTGGTACGATCTTGTCTCACTGCAACCTCCACCTCCTGTGTTCAAGCAGTTCTGCAGGGGTGACAGGCACGCGCCACTACATCCGGCTAATTTTTGTATTTTTGGTAGAGACGGGGTTTCGCTATGTTGACCAAGCTGGTCTTGAACCCCTGACCTCAAGTGATCCGCCCACATAGGCCTCTCAAAATGCTGGGATTATAGGCCTGAGCTACTGTGCTGGGCCTCTAGCAGGATATTTTTAGATTATTCGTCAAATTCATCTGTCTCTTTTTAAGTCATTTATTCATTTCCTAACTCTCCATCTTTTTATTTCTTCTCCTTTTAATTATATTTGACCTTTTTCTGCATTTTCTTAAAACATATCTGTAATTAATGTCCACTTAAATATTAACAGTTTTTGGGAGACTTAGAGGAAGATACGAAATTATCTCTTTATTACAATAATAGTTGAATAGTTACTCTACAGGTGCACATATGTATGTGTGCAAAACACTGTCTCAAGCTCGTTGAGGTTTAGAAAAATGAGGAAAACTATAGTCCTTGCCCTCAGGGAGCATACATAATAAGAGAAATAGAGAAGGTTATGGAATTAGTTTACATGAAGTACACAGGTGTCTGTACTATAATATAACTCTAGAAAAAATGCATTAAGAACACAGCAGCTAGAAACTGCTGTTGCCTGCTGTAAGTTCACATAGGGAGACAGCATAGTTCTGTGGAAAGGAAATTGCAATAAGAATAAAGAGCTCTGAGTTCAGGTCTTTTTGTCACTACCAGCTGAGAAATACTGAGCACATTCTCTTTGGTTTTTTTCTTTCCATAGCTTCAGGCTTTTTTTCTGTCTGTATAGTAGATTTTAACTAAATCTATCAGTTTCGTAAATACTGTGGTATAATAACATTTGCTTTACCTTCATAAAAGATGTGTCTTATCTTTTTTCTTTTACTTACTGCTGAGTAATATTCTATTTTCAACCACTGTTAGAGAATGTAATAATTTAATCAAATAAATAAAATAAGATTAACTGATTAATGTAGTCACATGGACTGATTAGTGCATACGGTATTTAAAGTGCTTTATTCTATGACGTGCTATGTGGAGCATTTTAAAACTTTAGGCCATATAGTCTAAATTTTTAAAATAAACATGTAGACTTTTGTCGTAAGGGATGGGCAAAACTCCAAGTAACACTGCCTGAGTACTCATCTCTTTTGGAGATAGCCATGAACCTGATTGGCTTTTCTTAGATGCTGTTGAAAGCATCTAGAGGTGATCTTTTGATGCTTAACTTGGGAAGCAAAGTTAATCTTTTGATGCTTAACTTGGGTCTTTGGTTTTCGCTTCTGAAGTTTTTTTTCTCTTTTCTGTTAAAACAGCTTTAAGCTTATAGCAGGTCTCCAATCAGTGTTTAGACTATTAGTAAATTATCAGTTCAAATGCATTTAGCCTGTTTTTCTTCCTGTTTCTAAATTGGAAGTGAGAAGCTGCTAATTAACTAAACTTTAGGCTAGCATATCTGAACAACTCAAAAATATAATGTGTAATATATATGCTAGTGCCCTTTGAAATAAGTCTAGTTTTTAAGATATTTTCGTTGTGCTGAATTAAAAGAATATTCTAAGTTTATTTTATAAGTTGCTCTAGTATATCATACAATGTTTTGGTTTCATATTAAACACAAATAAAGGCACCTGTGAGACCTGATGCAGAATGTGACAAAATCGGAGATTAGCATAGTCACTTTGTGAAGCCATTTTTCTCTTCAAAAGAAACCAAAATATGCTCTATCTGAAGCCTAAGGATGTTGACAAATAAAATGAAGCATTTGGAAATTTTTAGAAGGAAGACGCTGACAGCAGATTGCTTAGAATTTTACTCACTGCCTTTTAAAATGAGTAACAGATACTACCAAACTTGAAGCATTTTAGTTTGGTTTTTTAATTGGTCTGTAGACCATTGGCCCTTTCTATCCAGACTACGTACATTGATGGAAAAGTTGGGCAGGAGTTGCCTGGCTGAAGTGTGGATTAATGCAGTAGAGTGCTTTACCTAATGCATATTGCCTAAAGCACAGGTGTTTCTTTTGTTGGTTGAATACTGTCTGATTTTCCTTCCTATGTAATTTACCTGCATGGAGACTAAGAAAGCCCCCTTTTATTAAATAAGCTTGAAAACTAGATGAATACACTTAGGCGCTTGGGTAGAATGTATTGGATAGCTAGCTCCCTTTATAATGAGCATTTAAAAATCTGCCCTCCAAAAACTGGAAAATGCATTCTCTGCTGTATGGAAAGCAATATAGCACTGAAATATTCCTCCTTAATTTTGGTCTGAACGAACAAAAGTGTCTGTGTTTATTCCTGCCTAATGCATCACAAATCTGCTGACATGCTAACCTTGGAGTCTTGGCTGGCGTTAATCAGGCCTGTGCACCGGCAGGAAAGATGTACCTAATGCACTCCATCAGTGCAGTTTGCATATGGAAGTTCTCACAGGGGAGCTGCCCTGTGCCAGCTGAGGGTTACCTGCCCACTGCAGTTATTGTATGTAATTATCGAACCAATCTGTTCAGCCCAGCAGGGTTTAGATGGTAATCATGAAGCAACACTTCGGAAAAGAAAGATGTAAGGCATTCTCCCCTTTTCTTGTCAGTTATGTGAAGTTGTAGCCACTCGCACAGTTATTTTTGAGAGACAATACCTCCATATACAAATCTGCTAAGTGAATGCCTTTTAAAGTTTTTCGAGGTTTAGTCAAGTTGTTATTTTTGTATATGTGAAGCATTTTCTTTAGGAACATGGTGGGTATCTCTGAGTTCTAATTTTCCACAGCTACCTTAAGAATGTTTTGAAACAGTGGGATTAATTGTAATACATAGATAATAACAGTTCTGACCATTTGGAGGTTTTACGATAATGTGGCTTGAATAGAGTTCAGCTTTCCCATGTAATTCTCTTTGAAACAGAACCCATGGTTGCCATTAGGAAAACGAACAATGTGTTGTCAGCAGGTATTACCCTCTTTTCTAGCTGTATACAGAATGGCGTGCAGCAAGGAACCCTCTCAGTTGAAGTTTAACTTATTGTTAATTGTTAGAAAATATAAATGAGGACATTTTGTTTCATTGTGAACCTGTGAAATTTGGGGCATATCAGATGGTTTTCTAAATGATACAGTCTTATTTTAGGCAACCAAGAGAAGCTTTGGATTAAAATTTGGATTTTAACCTGTTTAAATTTGAAACTACGCAAGATAAAGTTATATAAAAAATTCCAAGTTTTGTATTTATTACTAATGTCCCTCTATAATTTTATCTATGTATAGAGATGCTGGAGAATTTAGAAACTTCACACAGAACTGGGTATGTTAAAAAATGTTGTATACTGGTAGAAAGTAATAAAATGAAATTGAAGGACCATTTGGGAAGAATGGATGGTGACAGAATGTAAGCACTGAATCCTAAATGACACTTTACTAGAAAAATAGGACAGGCCCAAGAGAATATGGGAAATGCAGACGGTTTTTAAGATTTTAGGAGAGCTTTGTACTTTTAGGACTATTATTTAAGGTTGATGGCCTTCTTAAACTTTTAATAAACAGTATGCTAAAAGAGAAACATTTATTACAAGTTTTCCATTATTGATTCATAAATAGAATTTTACCACCCATGTTATGTGGTACAAACACTGATGCAATGTATGGGGCAAGACATATATTTTTTCCATTTAATAAATAGATTGTCCTTTCTCCAACTCACCCACATTGTACAATGTGAAGAGTACCATTGGCCTGAGTGGTGATAGCAAGTTTGTAAAAAATTTTGTTTTAGAAGAGTTTCTGTAACCATCAGTCCTGATGGTTAAAACATAGCTTTCAATAATGAAGTATATAAAGCCTGAAAAGTTGGAGGTGGATATAACAAATACACCTACCATCTGGGTTAACTGTCTAGCTGAAAGTTCTCTGACTCCCCTTTTCTTTTATCCCTCATCCATTCCTTTAGGTAACCACTATCCTGAAGCTGAGAATATTCTTCCTGTGTGTTTTGACACACACACACACACACACACACACACACACACACACACACACACACCCACCCACACCCAATATGTAACAAGTTTGTCGTTTACTTGACTGTCAGACCATATCTTTTTTTTTTCTCTCTCTCTCTGTCTCTCTCTCAAATTTTTATATGTAAGAAGCGAAAGAAAGAAATTGAAGAAAGCAAGGAATCTGATGTTGAAGATATGGAATGCTCAAATACACAGACAGAGGAGCCCATACAGACCCGTAAGTTGAACAGTTTTGCCTAGCTGCTTCCATATGTAAACATACATTTCATTTCCTCTCACTAGATGAGGGGCCAGCTATTTGGGTCATGACCTTTTGATTTTATAATAAAATACCATAAGATCTTTAAATGGTATGTATTGTAGTGTCTTTTGTACACACAATAGATTATTTACTCTCCACAATAATTATAAAGTTGAGACCGGGAAGTTTCCTTCATTTTGCAGATTTGGGTGGCAGAGCTGCCAGGCATGGTGACGTGTACCTGTAGTCTCAGCTACTCAGGAGGCTGATGCCGGAGGATCACTTGAGTCAGGAGTTTGAGTCCAGTCTGGGCAACACAGAAACCCCATCTCTAAAATATAAATAGATAAATGACTGAGCTGTTGCGAAAGGGTTAGTGATAGAGACCAGAACTCTTAACTCTCAGGCTAATATCTTTCCACTTCCTCAAATTGATCTCACATAACTCTGGTTGTGATAGTGAGTGTCAGGGGTCCGACATGGACTTATTGCAACTGAGCTGCCTGATTGTTCCTTATAAAGTTTGTCAGCTTCTTTTTTTCTGAGCAAGTTAAGAGGAAAGAAATTAAAGCTTTGTGGATGATCATTTTTCAGAGTTCTTAAAACAAAAATCCAAGGTATGAAGTCACTTCTGAGATGGCTTATAAACTGGCACTGAAGGTACTTCAGTAATGGAGTAGTTCCAGAAATGACATTAGCAAAGGCAACATCTGCAAAGAGCAGAACTAAGTTGGACTCTGGTCTGATACGTTTAATAAACTACCAGCCAATGTGTTCCAGGATTCACATGATATGATGATGTACTTGACTCAATAAGGAGAGTTACTCAGTGTGACCCACAGTACATTTTTTTTTTTTTTAAAGATTTCTCCTGTCCCTTTTTTTGAATTACTATTTTGTTCATTCTGAAGTATTTCTTGGTTTCTAACAGAAAAGGCTTATTTTTGATTTAAAAAAAAAAAAACCTGTTTTTTTAAAGCATAGATGCCATATTGAGTAAGACCACCAATTTATTTTCCCTTCCTTTTGCTAGTGGCATCAGTGCATGTTTGTGGAAAGCAAAGTGTTCAGCTTTCAAAGAGAATTATTTTTGGCTTGATTTTATTAATGTGTTCTTTGTTATTATGATTAGAATATCCTTTGGTTTAATCTGCTTTAACCAAAGAAAAATTGAGGTATCCGAAGAGGGAATATGTAACTCCACACTGAAGGTGAAAGGTTTTGAAGTAGTCCCTCTCTTTTTTCTGCCGCCGTTTTCCATTCGCTACTGTCTTTTTTTTCCCTCTTCCCCTGTCTTGTTCATTTTGTTATTAGGAAGTGAGGAGTCCCAAGGAGCAATACACCGAAGCATGTCTCAGCCAGAGGCTAGCTGCAGCAGCTATGACAGTGAGTGGGAACAAAATTAAGGAGCATTTATAAAGATACAGTAATATTCTTAAAAAACAATTCCTTAAATTTTAAACCTGGCAAGTTTAGTTTTGGTAGATCCTGAATTGTTTTAGTGAGATTGACACTCATTATGTCAGTCTCAGCTGCGCATCAGGAAGACTCATTCCTCTGGACTGCCTGGACGTCATTTGTTACCTGAACTTTGCTTAATGAACGTCAAGGGTTTTACTTTGATAGATAAATGCTTTTAAATTCTAGTATAATTATGAAAATTTTTTAACCTAAATTTTTAGTGTAAGGTCTTCTACTGATGGTTTTTCCCATGAAAAATTTACTTCCCCCTCCTGTTCATAAAATGGAGACTGCTTTTGTTGGTGTTGATTTTGGACCATTCCTGAGGGATCTTTGGAGAAAGCATGACTAGTCAAAATGTTAGTATTTTTGTTATCTTATTAATGAGAAAAGAGTAAAGTCATAAATAATTTAAGAAGAACAATTCAGTTTGTTTGACATAAGTTTTTAAGAAAATAAAGAATAATCAGATTCACCCTTATTTATGTAAATGCAGAATTGCTTTTCTTAAAATGCTGTTTATTTCCCCCATTACAGTTCACTTTTTTCCCCCTAAAGTACAAGGCAAGTTAAGGTATTTTACTATCAAAATAATAATAAGTGAGATAAATATTATCTGATGGTAAAATGTTATTGCTTCCAATACAAAAAGCCAAGAGTTCATGTAAATGTGTACTTTTAAATTTATCCATTTAAAGTAACTTGAAGGAGAAGACAAATTATTACATTTGATTTTTTAAAAAATTTCAAGATATATAATACAATTCAGTGAATTCTGTGTTTTAGAGCTTTAAGATTTTCTGTCATAAACATGTTTCAAGAATGGTTACCTCTAACAGCAGCCTTAGAAATGTCAGTTTCTTCATTAACAATTTTATTTTCAAACACAATTTATGATTTACAATATGGTAAGAGATTTTTCTCACTGTGATCTTTCATAATACTGTGCCTAGCAAAATGGGAGCAACTTTCCTTTAATATCTATTTAGACCATTTTAAAAGCGTGTATAATTTTCTGATACACCTGAACTCATTTTGAATAGTTGGGGGTCTATTGTGTAAGAACACATTCTGAAAGCTTTCAAAATGTGTATTGTGTAGGTTTTCTCAAATAAAGAGAGGAAGTGATGGGATGGTTTTCAAGAAGAACAGAGGCCTCTAATCCTTTTATTTTTATGCAAGGCATAATTTTTACCAGTTGAGAAAATTTGGTTATTTGCTGCAAGTAATTTTTCCCCTCACAAAATGATAGCCTTTAAAAATCATACATATTCTGGCATTTCAGAATCATGCCAGTATTTCAGAATTGTGCTAAAAATTAGCTAATACAGCCATGGTATTTATGGCTGGTGTACTTTCCCCTCCAGTTCATAAAATGGAGACTGCTTTTGTTGGTACTGATGTTGGACCGTTCCAGAGGAATCTTCAGAGAAAGCATTTTTGACTAGCCAAAAAGTAGATATTTTTAAGGGAACCCTACAAAGGAATTTTCCACCTTTTTTTCCCTACTGCATTACAGAGCCATAGAAGAGCATCCCAAACTTGTATGTTATTTTCCACATATCAAATTATTACATTAGTCTTATCATTGGACCCTCTGCCAGTAGTGTATATTAGGAAATGGTTATATTTTATTAAAGAGTTTTTTTTTTCTGTAATAATCAGAATTGATTATTAGGGAAAATATTGAATTGATATATGCAACAAGGTGCATAGGACTGATTATATAAATCCAGGCAGTAATACCACTTTCAGTTGCAGTGAAAAACTTTAGATTGATGAAGATAAGCAACAATGATATTTAATTTCAGAGTAAAATGGCAAATTAAGATATTAATGAGAATAATGCTATTTAAGTTATAGCTCTATAGTTGTTAAACTTTAGTGTGCTTTGTAGTGTGGTTAAAGATTGAAAATGTATTGAAAGGAGATATAAGTATTGATTATTGACCTTGATTTTGTAATACCCCTTTATGCCCATCTTGCTATCACAGCATTTTCAGTTTTCTGTGCAGAATTAATTTCAAATTTCTTGAAACAGGCCAGGTGTGGTGGCTCATGCCTGTAATCCCAGCATTTGGGAGGCCAAGATGGGCAGATCATTTAAGGTCAGGAGTTTGAGACCAGACTGACCAACATGGTGAAACCCCTGACTCTACTAAAATATAAAAATTAGCCAGGCGTGGTGACAGGCGCCTGTATCCTCAGCTAATCTGGAAGCTGAGGCAGCAGAATCACTTGAACCCAGAAGGCGGAGGTTGCAGTGAGCCAAGATCACGACACAACACTCTAGCCTGGCGACAGAGCGAAATTACCTCTCTAAGTAACTAACTAACTAACTAGCTAACTGACTAACTGGTTTCTTGAAATAAAAACCTAAAAGTCTATGGTGGGATATTTTTAATAGAAGGCTATGTTACAGAAATTGAAGAAAAAACTCAAATTTTGAAATCAATCATAGTACAATATGTAGGGTATGTATTATGAGTGGCAGAAAAAGGGATATTCATATAGTTTGCTGTCATTTGAACTGTATGGCAATTATATAGAAACTATGTATAATTTGGAAAAATTAAAAATGCTAGTTTTGAAACTGACCTGTATGTTAAGTAAACCCATAATCAGAAAACCTTTAGATATATGTGGTAGAATTTTGTTCCACATTCAAAGAATGTTTTGTACTTTTGAGAAAATAATTATTGATCTTTTTGGTTTTTTATGCAGTCATTGATTAATTGTGAGCACCATGCTTTCCCTCACTCTGGTGGCTCTGCTCTTTCCTGGCAGAGCGTAACATGCAACAGTGGGAAGGAAATGGCCCTGCATCTTTTGGCAGCACTAGGGAGCCATGATCAGGCTGACTGCTGCGCCCAGAGGTGGAGTAGGAGTAGTAGGTGGGGTGAAATGTCTCCTTGGTGAGGCAGAATTCCCATGTCCCTAATAGAGAGTCACTGATTTATTCCAAACCAAGACTAGTTAGATAGAAGCTGTCATAAGGGACTTAGACCAGTATCACCTATGATCCTTTCCTAGGAGGCTACTCATTTGGGATCCGTGTAATTCCTAATGGAAAAGACATTCCATTTCAGAGTATCCCAGTACTCTCCTGCCTAAAGGCTGTAGGTAATAGGCTTTAAAAAGCAACCCATTCCCTTGCTTTTCATAACATGCATGACCTCATCTCTTCCCCCTAAGGAATGAATGCTTCTCTATATTGCTACAGTTTATATGTGTGGAGATAATATTTTAAATTTTACAATAAATGTAAATTTTGGAGAAAACAATTTCAGTGTTAGTAAAAATTGGATAGATTTTATAAGTCAAAGGATTTTTACATGGCTTAAGACTAGAAGGTAGGTTCCGTCAGCATATTTTTTGACATACTAAAAAATTGACCCAATTTTCTAAGATTTTCAGGGTGTTAGCATTTATACCTTTGTGTGTCAGTTTTATCTTTGCAAATCACCAGACTCAATTCAATTTTAAAATGTTAATAACTATATTAAGGGATGTTTATATTTCTGTTCTTTTGCTTTCGTAAATTATTGATTAATGATTTAAGTGTCTTTGATTTGTCTTCAAGGTTCAAGAACCAGAAAGAGAGTCCAGAAGTAATTCAGATGCTGTGAACCAGCTTCTCTTTTCTTTGCTTTCTTTGACATTTTTCTCCTTTTCTATTTGAAAGTGTTTTATTTTCATGTGAGTCTTGCAAAGTGGAAGTAATAATTAAATACCCATGTGTTTGGAAAACATAAACTTTTTTATAAAAATAAATATTTTGTACAATTTATTAAAGGCTAATTTATGACATTTCAAAATCTTCAGGTTTTACTCCTTAAGTTATTCCAAAGCCATATGTTTTTGATGTTTTGGAGTACATATATAAGAAAATTACTATGACATGCACTTTTCTAATCATTGTACATTTCTCAGAGTGGATAAAAATGTTTGACAAAGTCCTCACTTTTAAGGAAATGCAAAGCTTAAAATAAAAATCTCTTTTGTTTGATACAAATGCACAATATGTTGTGGTCATAAGGTTTGGTTTGTATTGATTTTGTTTTGTTCCAGAATCTTTTATTAAGCACCTGCTGTATGAGACAGGAAGTAACAAAGCTGAGAAAGGAATATGAAATAAAAAGTGGAGTAAACATGAGTATCCATGAGGGAGAAAATCTACAAAGGTGAAAGTTAGATTACATAAGAATTACGTCAGTATGCGAGCTGTATGACAAGAAAACCAGTGATAAATGATCAAGTGGTGTGTGGTTAAACATGGTATAAAGACTGGCTTCATTCAAGGAAGTCCTGTGGCTAGAAATTAATATATCTAGTCTATTGTTCATTCACAGGAGTTTATTTTTCTTAAGGTTTCTCTTTCATAGCATGTAATATTTGTACAGTAAACCAAGTGCTTCCGAGTTTCAGTGATTAGAAATTTTAAGATCTGGAATTTTTAAAGTTACCTTGGGAACAAAAGCTTGGAATTTTAACATATTTATGAACAATTTCAGGATTCATTACTCAAATTTTACTTGGTTAGAGAAATTGGGATCGGACTATTTTCTGATGGGTGGTATAACTTACCACTTATAACGTACACAGTGTGTTTAGAATGTATATGGACATAGTTTCGTTTAAATATTTAAGTATTTTAATATGTATTCAGTATACAGCTAGCACATTAAACTGGTGATTTCTCTACTACTTAGGACAAGCCTAAAGTAGGTATTTCAATTTTTAAAGGCAAGTTGATTTGAGGGAAAAAAATAAATGTACAGGTGGGATATGGACATACCAGAAATACCATACCAGGATGGTACCAAGTTTGAGAAACTATGAACCAGTATAAAGACTCTTTTGTTTGTTTGTTTGTTTTCTTTCTTTCTTTCTTTTTTTTTTTTTTTTTTTTGAGACGTAGTTTTGCTCTTGTTACCCAGGCTTCAGTGCAATGGTGCGATCTCGGCTCACTGCAACCTCCGCCTCCTGGGCTCAGGCAATTCTCCTGCTTCAGCCTCCTGAGTAGCTGGGATTACAGGCACGCGCCACCATGCCCAGCTAATTTTTTGTATTTTTAGTAGAGACGGGGTTTCACCATGTTGATCAGGATGGTCTCGATATCTTGACCTCGTGATCCACCCGCCTCGGCCTCCCAAAGTGCTGGGATTACAGGCTTGAGCCACTGCACCCGGCCTAAAGACTCTTTTTAACTTCTGGCCCTCTCATGTGGCTATTCAGTTGTCAGAATCATTTATCACCAAAATGGTTAGATACTGAAAAACGCAAAACCTCTGCAGACTTCCCTTTGAAGATTAACCTTTTAATGCCTCCTGAAGTTCTAGAGCTACGTATCTTTACAGATTAGAAAATTTGATTTTGGGCAGAGGTTTCTCCTGCTTTCTGTAGAATGTTAGCTTTTAGTACTTACCAGTGTTAATGTCCTCAAGTTTATTTGTAACATCTAAATCAACTCTCAAATTCTGTTTTAAACACATGAATGCTTAAAATAGAATAAAACATGTGTGGTGTGTTTTTCTGTATATACCGTAGTCGCTGTATTTTTCAGAACACAAAAACGTAGCAAAACTTGTTGGTTAAATATTAAGAAAACAAATACGTCCTCACATATTGTTTTAAACAAGTGGTGGCTTTTTTTTTTTTAATGTTACCATATTGGCAGGGCTACAGAAATTAATGAAAAACTACTAGCCATAGTAACCAGTTTGATTAGTTAGCTACAACCCTCGTTCTGCTATTTTATTCCCTACCTTGTACTTTTTTATTCTGTTCCCCTTTTAAGAAATGGTTAAGCAACCTCGTCATTCGGAGTTATTTTTTCCCTTGTCCTTTTCAGTTCTATGTTTGGTATTTTTATTTTGGATTGCTTTTATTTTCTTTCTAATCCCTGAATGGAGTGGATTTGCCATTCTTTGTTCTCCTTTCACAATCCAACTTGCATATTCTAACGTGTTAGTTCCATTTTCTCCTGCCTTCTCTGCCGTTTTCCTTAGGTCCTTACTGAGCTGAGGTTTTTTTAGTCTGTTGAGGATCAGCACCACTGCCAGGCTCTTGTTCGTCACACAACAGGATGTATATGTTTTCTAGAAAGCAACTGATAAGTCTTTGGTAATTGACTGAGTCCTGAAGTGAAATAGCTTGTAGGTGTTCTTTAACAGTGATGTAAGACAAATCAAACACTAATAAGCCAGTTATAAAACCCTGATTATCTCTTTGAATTACTAAATTACGTGTGCACATAAAGACCCATGTTGCATAGCAATAAAGTGGTGGAAATATAAATAATTGATTTGTATTTGTGTAGGGCGATATACATGTCCACAGTTGAACGTTATATGTTTGTTTATCCTTCAAAATTTTATTTTAATGCTCTATATTTTTGGATTATAAGGGTGTATTAATAATACATGGCCATTTAAAATAGTTTAGAATATACAGAAAAGTATCAATAGACAAACCAGCCATAATACTACCACCCACAGGCAACCACTGTTAATGTTTTGACACATTTTCTTCCTGTCATTTTTATCTTTAAATAGTTATACTTCATATATAACTTTATATTCTGCTTTTAAAAGTTAACATTAAATACTTTTTATATTATTATACTTCATGAATATAACTGCTGTGTTTCCTCTTTTTTTTTTTATGGATTTTTGAGACTTTCATGACCATTTTCATAATATTGTTTCCAATATTGGGATATTATAAACTATTTTTGAACAAAATTAGGCAGAAGTCTTCATTGACATATATGAATATTCTTAGATTTTCAAAAGGAAACCACTGAGTCAAAGACTTTGAAATGGAAAGTTGTGCATGCATATTATTAAATTGCTTTGCAAAAATCTGTCTGTTAACACTTCGCCCAGTAGGTCCGAGTGCTCAGCCTACATTTTTGTCATTTTTGAGGAATATAGACTGAAAGTTTGTGTCCCCTGCATTGTTCCTGTGTTTAAGCCTAACCCCTAAGATGATGGTCTTTGGAGGTGGGCCTTTGAGAAGTGATTAGGCCATGAGGGTGAAGCCTTCATGAATGGGATTCATGCCTTTATAAGAGGAGACAGGAGAGAGATGATGCCTGTCCCTGTCATGTGACCATCTGCAAACCAGGAAGATGGCCCTCGCCAGGAATAGGATCTGGCAGAAATTCTATTTCTCAGCCTCCGGAACTGTGTGAAATAAATGTTTGCTATTTAAGCCACCCAGACTAACACATTAAGTTTTATTTTTATAATTTGATAAGGTAAATTTTCTTTTTTATTGCTAGTGCACCCAAACCTTTATTTGTAAACTAATCACTCTTTTCTTATGTGTTGGTATGTACTATTTATACAGTAATGACCTTAACTCTTTGCCATTTTTGTTGCTGACTTTTCCCCATTTATTTTTTGTGTATATTTTTAATGTTTATGAAGTTTAGCTTTTATGGCTTTAATCTATGGATCTTTCATTGTAATTTCTGCAACTGTTTTAAAATATTTTTCATCTGGAAATTAGAAATATTTACCATGACTTTCTCTAGGCTTTTTTTGTTTTAATGCTTCTAAATTTTCAATTCAAATGGAATTCAGTTTGGCATATGTGTGCTATGAGGTGAGGATCACAAAGATTTTTTTTTCTAAGCAGCTAGCCAGTAGCTTCAGTACCATTTGTTAAATAAATAATCTCTCCCACCCGTTCTCCCCCCTGGTTTGTGATGCCTGCTTTATTATATACTTTTGTTTCTAGACTATCTACTCAATTTCATTGATCTGTCTGTTCTTATGCCAGCACCACACTGACTTAATTAATGCCATTTTACTTATTAATTCTAATTTATCGCTCAAGCCACATTAACAGAAATCAAAATTCACTTATGATCCTACCACCACTACAGAAGTCTTAACTCTTGTCCTTTGGCTGTGTTAGTCCTGTTTTCATGCCTGCTTAATTTTTTAGTTTTAACAGTTGCATGGATAAAATTTTGTAGTTTTTTTAAGTTCCACAGTTTATTCTGTAATCTTCTAATTTATTAAGTTCTGATGCGGAAAGTACAATTACAGTAAAGAATTAATATTATAAAAGGGTCTCGAAATACAGATAGCCTCATACACTGTATTAGTAATGGTATGTAGTCTACTGCTGACCAGATGGTTTAGACAACTCTATCACTTGTGTTACACAAAACGCTTACTATTTCCACTGTACTGAGGATCTGTTTATACATACAGTGGTGAGTTTATTACGGCATAGCATTTTGCAACTTACGAATAGCATTCTTGCATTTGTGTAGTTTGGCTTGTCATGAAGTTCCCAGTAAAATTTCTGCATTGAGAAAATTCCGGTTCATTTGTAAACCACTACAAATCATCTTCAGGAAACCCTCTTCTTTAACGTACTTAAGTCCAATGTTAGAACGTTGTTCTGAGATGTCAGCAGTGTGAGTGGAGACGATAATATAATCTTTGTGCCTGGGATGCAGCAGGGAGGAGTGAATCCAGAGTATGGGGAGAGGGTGAAAGAGTAGTCTGGATGCTATTTCCACTTTTCTGTGGGTTGCCTTTCTGCTTCTGATGCAGAAGCCAGTGAAAGGCCATCACAGATATTTAAAATGAACACCTTATAACATCTGGGCAACAATTTCTTTAAAAGTAGAAAAATTGCCGTATTCAATATTCTCTCTGGCCTTTCCACAAAAATCGTAGCTCAGAAATTCGTGATGGTCTTTGGTATGCTTCTCAGATGTGAGCAGGATCCCTACACACTTTTTGTTGATTTTCCCCGTAAGGGACCAATATGTGTTAGTACTTAAAGTACAGCTATTGAAGGGTCTGCTAAACTTGAAGACTGGAAAGTTACAGGACAGTACGTTGTATTTCAGGGAAAGTTACAACTGGGAAGTGATACTATTAGATTGCCTGGCGAAGAAAGAAAAACTTCTTGAACTTTTTCAAGAAGGTAGAGAAACGTACCTTCAAGGTTCTTAGGAAGACCTTTGATGTTGGGGACATTTTAGTTTG